GGGATTTTGGAGGTTTTTTCCTCCTCGTTTTATCAGCTGGTATCATAGTATTCAGGTATATTGTGTCTCACTACTCAGCCTTCACATGCTTTAGTTTTCCTGGGCATATTTATTAATTAATGTCTCCTCTATGTTTTTAAGACCTATTAGTTTGAAGTGCTATTGTTACAAGTGCTTAAATCTTGAGTTTAAAAAAAAAAAACCAACCACTTTGCAAGGTGGCAGAAGCCTTGTGGTAGTGATTTAGGAAGTGCACTTAATGCCATAGTGCATCTTTGCTTTGGAGAGGCTTTGATCCACGGACGTTTTCAGGCACCTGGCTCCTGCAGCAGGATCTGGGCTGGTGGTTCGGAGGTTATAAAACACAGGGAGAATTAGGAAACTCAGCGTGAGCTTTTTCAAAAGCGGCTCCCTCATGTTAACTCCCTCATGTGGTAAATGAGGAAATGAAGATGAGGGTGAAGTAACCAGAAATGGGGTCTTGTTGGAGATCCACTTAGGATTTTATTTTTTTTTTTTATGATGGATGTCTTTCATGGCAAGCCTGGGGACGCCTGAGGTATATGCCTCTGAGTGAAATGCAGCCACATCTGAGTTTGGACCTCATCTGGTGGTCTTGTGCATAGTTTCATTCATGCACAGGTACACAGGAGCTTGTAAAGTCTTCCTTTTCATCTGGGCTTGCATGCCTCGGCTCAGCATCATGTAATGGGTGTGCAGTAAGATTCCCGTCTGAGTTTGTTAGACATAGGTGGAATATTTCTGCTTTGGGCCCAGTGTTGCAGTTAGATTTGTTGAAATAATCCTTCCAGCCTTCCAGTACCTAAAGGGGCTACAAGAAAGCTGGAGAGGGGCTTTGGACAAGGGTGTGTAGTGACAGGACACGGGGTGATGGCTTTGAACTGAAAGAGGGCAGATTTCGATTAGATCTAGGGAAGAAATTCTTCCCTCTGTGGGTGGTGAGGCACTGGCACAGGTTGCCCAGAGAAGCTGTGGCTGCCCCATCCCTGGACGTGTTCCAGGCCAGGTTGGATGAGGCTTTGGGCAACCTGGTGTAGTGGAGGGTGTCCCTGCCCATGGCAGGGGCGTTGGAACTGGATGATCTTTAAAGTCCCTTCCAACCCAAACCGTTTCACGATTCTGTGAATCCAGCTTCTGCCCCAGTGAAGTCAGTCCAGTTTCAGGATCCCGTTGCAAGGCTGGATAACTGGGATCAGGCTTCCCATTGCTCTGGGCTGAGGGAAGTCATTTGCAAAACGACGGTGGTCCATGCTCCGCACGTTCGAAGTGGCAGTACAGGGTATCAGCAGAATGAAGAAGGTGTTTAGTTCTCTTGGAGAAACGTCATTTAATTATTCACTGTGAACTGTTTGGTGAACTCGGCTTGCTAGGACTTGGCGTTTTGAGCTGGTTCGTAAGCAGAGCAGAATACAGGAGGGAATCATATGTAAATGCCGTATGACTGCCTGCTAATTATTTGCTTACTGATTAATAGAAGCAAACAAACATAACAGACATTAAACTAACTATTGAAGTTAGCGTTGGTGAATAGTTCTGCCACATGGAAAGGCAAAAACGCTAAGAAAAAGATGCTTTTTAGGAGTAAGGCACACTTGTGTTTTTATTGCTACAATTTGCTTTGAACAAGTTTTGTGGAGGCCTCATGATTCTCAGAATGCATGGACTAATGGCATTTTATGTATAATTGAGTAGTAGTTCGTTTTCATTTGCATAATACGAGCAAAGCCAACAAAATACAAATAGAAGGCTGTATAAATGCTGCGCTAGCAATCACTGGCGTGACTAAGTGCAGTCAGGGAATGCAGGTGATGATAGTTTATCAGATGGCTAAATACAGACAAGTGGAAAATAACTACGGTATCCAAAAATGGGGACGCACATTTTCCCACTTAGATGCTTTTTATGTATAGGAAGTAGTATTTTTGGAAACTGCCCAATCAAGTGTCAAACTAACTTGCACCAGGTGCCTGTTCTGTGGTTTCAGCTGAGAAAAGCTCCACTCATATATATGTATTTGCTGTATAAAGTCCTCGGGAGTTACCTAGGTGTAATCCTTACAGTGGTTAAAGCTCTTCACGAAAAAGATGGAGATACCAGTTGCAAGGAAAAAAAAGAAATTGCCTTGTCTAACTAGTTCATATTATGTTAGGAAGAGTTTTCCGTACGGAATGGGGCGGTGTGTTTGGCAGGAGTTCCGACAGGAGGGGAGCTCTGGAAGGAGCAGCTCACCAGCAGAGAAGAGCAGACACTCCAGCACAAAGGCTGTGCACACAAAGCTGCTGCCAGACTCCTCTGTCCTACACGTCGTCACCTACTTCTAGCAATCGGGGGGGACAATTTAATTCCGTGACGTTTGTGAGCGGTTCCTCTGTATGAGAACTGGTACGTGCAAAGCAGATAACGACTGCTCGGGCTGGCGAGAGGCTCAGAGGGGTAGAATGGCGTTTGCCTGGCAGCGATGAGCGTGAAACGCACCTTCTGTGCCTCCAAGATCAGGTAAAGCCTTCGGCAGCATCGTCCCTGTTTGCTCGGAGCCAGACCCGACCCGCACCCCCAAATGTGGTGTGGCGTTAACTGGGCACTCCTGATGGCACAGAGTCCTGCTGACTTCCAGCAGTGGGAGAAAAGGGGTCAAAACCTGGTCAGAATCGAGTCGCTGATCGTAATCGTCCCAGTAATTACAGTCAAGTGCTGCTGCTGGAGGGCGATTATGGATTTGTGTACACCTCAGCTTCTCCTTTTTAACCTTGAGAAAAAGCACCTTTTGCCTCATTTCTTCTCTTGCTTTGTGACATGCTTCTTTCCTTATGCATTGGAGGGGAAAAGAACCTGAAGAATCATTGAGCTCTACAAAATGGAATGAAATCCTGTCTTTAAATGTCAAGGGCTGGAGAACTGGGAGGGGAAGGAGCAAATTTCATCCCTTCTCTGGTATTCTGAGTACTCAGAAGTCACCTATGAAATGAAATACTTTGGGTTTCACGAGTGGCTGGTGAGAAGCAGGGTCAGTGTCGTACTATCTTTAGGAAAACATTCACACAGGAGTAAGAAACGTTCTACAAGGGCGCTTCGTGTTTCAAGCCTTATTTCTTGGGAAAAAGTTACTGTACATCCAGTTTTGAGCGAATGTATGACCTTGTACTGTATTAACACAATTAAATAAATTTTGATGACTTTATCTACAAAATGCAAATAACAGAATAAGTGATTACCTTTCAAATTATTTCTCTGTATCTATCAAGGGTGTCTTCTAAAGCAGTATCCAGTTTTTGGGAAAACAACGCAAAAATTGAAAATAGACAGTAGTGCGAGTTTTTCTGCAAGCGCTTGCTTGCTTCGCGGCATGTTCCGACATACGTGTTCCTTGGCATTAAAGGGACTGCCAAGGTAGCATCAGCATCGCTCAAGATGGCAAAGACAAATTCAGTGTGTCAATGAATGATGTTGTGTGAGGGATGTTTTTCTGTGAATAGAAAAAAAAAAATCACAAAAAGGGGCAAAATGAAAAATTGAGAAAGAGCAGGAGAGCAGTGCTTGTAGAGTTCTGCAGACTCCATTATGTGTGTATCTCACGTGTGCCTACTAGTGGCAAGAAAAGCTCTCGAAACCCCTCGAACAATTTCATTGTTGCTTTTACAAATCCATGTGGCCCCTGTTCATGGCTGGCTGTTAGCCCCCAGACACTAAAACGGTGGCAAATTACTGGGTTCTTCCCAGAGTCACGAGGTTATAATCTCGTAAAACGATGTCATCGAGACTGTGAGCCATACTGGGGCCACACTGAGCCAACTGAGTGATACACCGATGAGGTTCGGGACTTACAGGAATACTTCTTGCTGACATGAAGGATTAGGAAAGTCTCTGCCTGTTGTCCTTCTGTGATATAAAGCAGAGGAAATCCCCTTTTTGCGTGGAGAGTCAGAGCTGTGCATTTTAATTTCCCCTCAAAGAAACTGGCTGGAGATGAAATCGAATGAGATACTGGATTGAACATCAGTGTCTGCTTAGCTGCTGCGTGGGACACCAGCCACAGCAGGAAACAAGCTCTTTCCAAGGGAAGATCTTCCCATTTTGAAATACAAGACATCCCTTGGGGATGGCTGCAGAGGCAGGACCCTTCGACGTCTTTAGTAATGACCTGGATGGGACAGAGCGCTCTCAGGAGCTTTGCAGATGATACCACAGTGATAACATGGCAGAGCAGGTCCAGAGGGACCTTGGGAGGCTGGAGAAAAGGACTGAGAGGGACCTCCCGTGGTGCTGCAATAACCAACGCCCGGCATCTCGGGCAGAAAAACGTGAGATTTCATACCAGCTGGGAGATGGATGGACTACAGGGCAGCTTTGTGGAAAAATACCTGAGGTGACCTCCTTGTTTTTAATTACTGTCTCAGAGACCAGTCAGGCTGTGGGGAAGGGTTTTGGGAAGAGCAAAATTGTAGATGAACATTGCTTCATCTTACTGAGGCTGATCTACGTTAATCACAAGAGCTACAGGAAAATTTTCTGGAATCTCTCTGACCTAGCCAACCTGTCTCTAGCACCTCTGTGTGTCTCGGTTATTCACTTGAAATGTATGAATTTGTTGAACCTAACTTTGATTAGGTTGAAAAATATATCGTGCTATGAGTGCTTTCCAGAAAGTAACTGTCATTATACACTTTTATCATCCCTGGGTTTTTTTGTGTGCGTTACACGACTATTTAGGTTAGATACAAGAAAGAAATTCTTTACATTGAGGGTGGTGAGGTGCTGGAACAGGTTGCCCAGAGAAGTTGTGGATGCCCCATCCCTGGAAGTGTTCAAGGCCAGGTTGGATGAGGCTTTGGGCAACCTGGTGTAGTGGAGGGTGTCCCTGCCCATGGCAGGGGGGTTGGAACTAGATGATCTTTGAGGTCCCTTCCAACCCAAACCATTCTATGATTCTATTTCTTGCAGAGACTGAAGTTTTGTGTGCATTGTATGACTATTTCTTGCAGAGGCTGAAGGAACTGAAACAGAGGGAGTTTGCTCGTAACGTAGCGTCTAAGTCACGAAAAGATGAAAGGAAACAGGAAAAAGCCCTTCAACGGTTGCACAAGCTGGCTGAGCTAAGGAAGGAGACCACGTGGTGAGTGCATAGCTGCCAAAACATAAAAAATACTTAAAAATAATCCCTGCACTCTTAGGTGGTGCAGTGGGGCGCAGGGCTGTTGGAATGCCTCGGCTGAAGCCCCACATGCACGTTTTTATGGCGTTTTTGAAGCAGTATGTGTGCAGTAATTTGGTTCACACTGTGCAGAGATGAATGTTTAACGTTGCTTTTTCGGTGGAGCTAAAATGACATGTTTTTTTAGTTAAAAAAAGATGTGTTTCATATATATTTCATAAAACCGGGCACGCTGGTTGAAAGCTGAGTGAAGTAGGTCACGCGTTTGCAGGCTGACACTACTTCATCGATGGGGTGAGGAACACAGTCTGTCTTTCTAGAATGTAACAGATCTCTGCAATTTAGTTCTCAAACTGCTCGCCTGGGAAAGCGTCCAGAAATCCAGTTTTAAATTTCAATGACTGGATTTTTTATATTTAGAGGTAAGTGCTCCTTTTCCCCAGCTCAGCAGTGTTTACCTCCCTCTGCAGAAGTGACTCCTCGCTAGTCATACGTTTGAGTGCTGCATCTAGGCATGCTGTTACAATGATTATTGAGCTTGCCGGCTGTGACCGTGTTCTCACTTAAATATGACACAGTTTTGACACCAACAAGCCACTGAACATATATGTACCAACTTCTCATAGTGGAATCTCAGGGGAAAGAAGCAAAAAAGTAGATGCTCATTTGCAAATGTTTTCTTTTTATCCAGCCTACATCTCACCAGATGAACTAGCAGAGAAGTCCAACCACTTGTAGC